TTTTTACCTGCTTTCTCTGTAGATGACAAAAAGAGCAGGGGTGTAAAGAATAAATGCCCTATTAAATTCTGTTTATCGTTAAAATACGTCTTTCTTGTGGAAAGGAGGACGTGAAGTATGACACACGACAAGACTTCTTTGGGTGTGGCTTTTAGAAACTGTCTCACTGCTTTTTAAGTATACTTAGATATGAGAAATATGTACATAAAGCAAGTAAATGTCTCAGAATTTATTATAAAGACTGTGAAGTGCATAGGTTGCTTCAAAATATTTCCTGAGGTGCTTCCAACACCAACAAAAAAGTACTGTGTTTACATAAAAAATACGCCTTGAATTCCTGCCACCTCCCTAATATTTCAAGTGGGCAGGCAGAATTAAAAATTACCTTGTGGAGGCAAGCTCAATAGATTATCATCAACTGATTTTAACTACCCTCACTTAGAACTTAGAGTATTTTTTTCTATCATGATTTTGAGTGTAAATTATAGTCACAGAAAAAAAGAAAAAATTCAGTCCCAGGAGGAATTTCAGAAATAATCCAGTCTATCCTCTGGTTTTCTAGAAGAAAACATCAAACCTCAGAGATGGTAAGTGACTTGAGTAAAGACACACAGCTGATACACATGGAAGAGAGATTAAGACTCACCTCTTCTGGCTTGCAGCCCATGGCTTGTTCCACGCCGTGCTACCTTAGCCCAGGGTAAGAAATATTTAATCGAGGGCTAATGATACAAGACAATGAAGATATATTGGATTTCTTCTATGGATTTCTTCATGTATCACTGCAGCACCTAGGAACTCAGATAATTATACTGTGAGGAGACAAGTGACAGGAGAGCAAAACAGCTCCTCTAATTCCTAGCCCTCTGTCAAATGCAGAGGCTGCAGCAAATTGCTACCTGGAAGCTTCTGTAGGCAGGTGGGAGAGGTGCACTACTTGTGCAAAGAAGCAGGCTTGGCATCTCCCTTTGTGAGATGTAAATCTAAGATTTGGGTAGATTTCATGGATGGGAGTTTAGAGAGGGCAAGCCCATAGCCTCAGGTCTTGGACACAAAATATTCTTTCCCCAGGTCCTATCGAATTAACGTGAGCCACGAACAACTGCCTGGGCTGGGGAGCAGAGCCGGATGGGGAACGTGAGGTTGATCTTCTGCTACTTAAACTCTTCAGGTCTCCTATTATCTGATGCAGCTTCCCTCTCCATAATGAAGATCAAATTATATCCAGCATTCTGGTTTGCTGAAAAGAGAGAGAGATCATAGGGACATATCATTTTACAGAGGACAATACCAGCAATTTCTGAATGAATCTGGCAGCTAAGCCCAGCAATTATTTGGACCAGCAATCACGGGTTCTTTGGGGATGGACCGTGCTCGTGGGGCTTTAGAAAGGGGCAAAGCTGTGGTAGCATCTAGTCTCCAGGTAGCAATCGTTGGCTCTTACTTTCACTCCAGCTCATTCTAAGTCACAACATTTTCCTAAAATTCCAACATGCTATCATGAAAAGAAAAAATCAAATCCCTATGTTCAGAAAAATGTTCATTTTCTCCTTAAAGCTATTAGAAGCAAGAAACCACTGGAACATTTTCCACATTAAGATGTTTGGCTATTTTTGTTTGTAAGGTGAACATGTGTTTTTTTTCAATTATAAAGAAATTTGGTACCAGTTATGAGAAAAGGATTTGTGAAATAGCTAATTCAAACCAGATGCCTAGAGAAATTGAGTTCGCTGTTCTTTCCTCAACAATATTTCAATGGAGTAAGTGTCTGTGCTGCCCTGTGCAGAGAGTACAGCCAGTGGGTAGAAAATAAAGGTGGATTCTGGTTCCATGTGAGGAAGAATTTCCTAATGATCTGAGCTGTTCAAAGATGTAATGGGCTGCAACAGAAAGGTCTCTGAGGCTGGAGATGTTTGTAAAGAGGAGGGAATGAAGCTGAGATGGGGCACTGCACTGTGTCACCTCTCAATGCCATTGTAGAATTTTCTGAAAGCCTTTCCTTTATCGCTAAGAAACACTTCTCCATGTCCATGGCTTTTGTAATTTAAAAATCATGGATTCTTAGAAATGCATATTTAATATCTACCCAAATACAATAAGGGAAAAAATGAGTCCCAAAACAATGGCTTTACAGAAGGAAATTTTTATGAAAAGAAAAGTCTCATCCATGCATCTGTTCTTTAAAGGGAATTTTCTAAAATGATTCAAAGTTGTGAATAACAACTGAGCATTCAGTCCCACTGTCTTGGGTTGGTTATGGCATTGAGGTGGAGGTGCCACCCCGCCCCCCCTGGCCTGAAAGCCAGCACCATCACATTTTCCTGCAATGGAAATAGTTGATGTAGGCAACCAACACTTTCCTCATGTTTCCGCAAAGCAGTGTAAATGTTAGTAGGTCACAATGGAACAAAGAGAATTTGACAAGCAATCTGTTTATTCTTCAGATTATAAAACTACTTTCAGGGCCACGTTAAAGTAACACGCACTTGGCCAAGAGAAAGAAGCCATCACTTGGTACAGACAGAATAGGAGCTTTCAGACAATCAGGAAAGCAATGGAGAGCTGTCCCCTCTCGAGGTGGTGACAGAAAGTAGAAGTTCTGTTTCAAAGGCCAGCACTGCAAATACAAAGCACAAAATTGGTCTAGGGAGAAAAAAAGATAGGCCAAAGGTGGGGAAAGCAGACTTCAACATTCAAGCCACTTTATAAATGGGAGCAAAACTAAATAAAAGGAAATGTTCTGATTGTTGCAGTACCTTGGGCCTTTGTAAAGATGTCATCTATTAAATTTCATCCACCCAAAGAAACTTTAAAAATATACAAAGTGTGCTTTTGTCCTTGAATTAAGATACTTAGTTGGCATTTGATTTAGGCTTTTGTAAAATACCATGAATAACTGCCTTTTCCGGTGCACTTTATATCTGTCTGTCTCTCTGTCCCTCTTTTTTTTGTATCTCTCTGCACGTGCTGTTCCCTCTGCCTGGAAAGCTCGCCCTCTTTCAATTTATCTGCATGAACTCTATCTTATTCTTCACATCTCAGCTCAATTGTCACTTTCTTTTCAGAGAGACCTTTTTAAGGCCCATCTTATTCTTTCCCTGGCTGACTGTCTCTTTTCTTCATCGAACTTCCACATTTTGCAAAGATATTTTCATTCATGTGTTTGCTTAGTGTCTGACTCCAATAAGCTCCTGCGACCAGGGAGCTTATCCATCATGTTTCCTACTCCATCTCCAGTGTCCTGCATGGTACCCAAAGGAATTTTTTTAATAAATAAATAAATGTTGGAATAAGATTAGGATGGTAATAAGCAAGGAGGGGTTCTCAGCACCAAGTGTAATGCTGCTGGGTGACCACTCTTCCTTTTTGTGCCCCAGCAAATAGGTGCTGTGGGTCACGATGCTCTAGATCAAGAGTGCAAGGTTAAAATGGCAAACTTTTCTGAGGGTAAATGATTCCCAAGGATCAAAACAGTCCAATATTTCTCAATTCTCTGTTACCCAGCTAGACCCACAGAACTCAGATTGCTCCACTATAGCTTATTCCCCTAGCAAAGCATTAGCATTGAGAGTGGCTAAAAGGAAAGAAGACTCTAAAGTTGTTCATATCTACCCAATGAAACAAGTTGCTTTGCTCCCAGAGAGCTAAAGTATCACATAAACAGACAAATAAACGCAAGTTTGTAAACATAGAGTTGCATCTTGCTTTTAGCAAAGAAGCAACTTAATTGAGGAACCTTTTGACCAGTCAGAACCTGGCTCTGTGTGCATCTTCTTCCCAGCACATATCGTGATTGAAATTTTACATTTATTGTTGTGATTATCTGTTTAACATCTGTGTCTCCCAAATAGACTATAAGCTACCTGAAAGTAAGGGCATTGTCTGCTTTTGTTACCACTGTGTCCCCAGCACAAAGCCTGCTAGAGATTCAATGAACCAATGAATGAATGAATAAATGAATAAGACTTATATTCTCCCTACACATAGCTTATCACCAGCTTGCTGGGTATCCTTGAATAAGTCGCCTTATCTTGCTAGTGTTCATTCTTTCATTTGAAGAAATGGTGATATCGTTCTAACCCCTTCTTAGTATAGATTCAAAGATCAAATGGCATAAAAATGACATGAATGTTCTGGAAAGGATGAGATTCTATTAAAATGTAAGCTACCATGCAAGAAGTACTCTTGCTACCAGAGCTTTAAATACAGGCAACAGAGCAAAAGCAGATCTGAGGTCAAGTGTGACCTGAAAGCAATTGTGGACCTAGGACAGGAAAGGGACTGAACCTACACCCTAACTTCAGGAACTCTGGAGTCACCCATTAGGAGTTCTATCTGCAGAAGGACTCCCTATCACCCGAGGGAGGAAGGAAAGGAAACACAGAAGTTTAAGGTAACCCCTGGGTGACACTCAAGAAAAACCAGGAAGAGAAAGATCACCCCAGTCCTCATGGGGAGGATGTCAATGAGACATGCTGGGTCTAAATTCAGGATTGACATGAGATGGTACTAAATGATGACCTGGACACAATCCAGCCTGGGCATTAGAGAAAAACTAATTTAAGTTTCTTTAATCAAGTGAATGGTAAACTCAAAGAGCAAGATTACATTTGAGAGGAGGGATGTCTTAACACTATAATTATTCAACAATAATAATGATAATAGTATTATTTATTGTCTAATATGTATTAGAATATTTACCTATGTTCATCTCTAACATCAGCTCTGTAAAGTACGTATGTCTATGCCTGTTTTACAGATGGGGAAACTAAGACTCAGAGATCAAGCAACTTGATCATACAGTTAGGTGGCAGAGCTGGAATTCAACCATGGAACTGCCTGATTTTAACTAGCATGGTCTTTCCACTCTGTCTCTCCAAAGAAGGCTCCAGCTGGAGATAAAACCATCAGGACCAGCTACATAGTTTGCAGGGCCCCATGTAAAATGAAAATGCAGGGTCCCTTGTTCAAATTTTATTAAGAATTTTAAGACAGCAAGAGCAGAGCAATAAGCCAAGAACGTGGCCCTCCTGAGTATGGGGCCCTGTGGGTACAGATCATAGGCCCATGAAGCTGGTTCTGCAAACCCTTCAAGGTTGGCTGAAAAGAATCAAATAACCAAGCAATCCCCACCTCTTGCCCGTTCTGAGGAGCCCTCAGAACTCCCGGTGGTTGGAGATTTGGCCAGAGAAATAGTGACAGTCATGGTGAGGTAAGACAAAGCAGAGCATGGGAGAGGCAGGGGAAAGGGCCACAGCAGTGAAGCAGGTCACCACGGCTACATGTTCCGGGAATCAGAGCCACCTGGGATCCTCGCTAATGGATGAGTCCTGGGAGTCCACCTTCCTTGTAGCAGCCCTGGGCCGAGGCTCTAGTCAGGCACCATGGCCATCACTATCCACACCCGGGTTATCCCCAAGACAGGTGCCCTGCGGAAACAAGAAGGGCAACTATGACGTAAGCATACAAATATTTAAACAGAGTGAAGAGAAAAAAAATCCCGTGAGAAACCAAATAAGAAACATTCACTGGTGAAAACTCAAGTTACATGGAGGCAGAACCAACAAAACAGGGCTTTTCCAGTCTGGTTTCAGTCACTGTCATAGCCACGAAAGCAGGACAACCCAAAGAGAAGTTGTCTCAAGAACAAATGAAAGCAAACTAGTGGAATGCTAGTATTGACTGACCAAAATTTGTGGGCTCTGAGAATGCAAGTTTTGGAAAGGATGGATATAGTGACCTTTTATTAAAATTTATTTGCTTGTAATACTAACACAAAAGCCATACATGCTAGCTTAGAAAACTTGGAAAACATAGAGAATCACAGTGAAAAAAATCACTCATTATTCTACCACTCAGTGATAACCACGGTTAATTTGACTTCTTGGAATAAGTGCTTTCAAACTTTTGTTATATACCAACACACACACACACACATAAAATTATTTTCAGACATGAAAACCTTAGTAATATTCATGCTTTTCTTCTTGTTAAATATTATGTCATATGATTTTTTTTAATAGTTGTATAGTAGCTCATCAAATAAATCCTCTATGTCAAGTTTCTTTTATTTATTTATTTATTTTTTGCGGTACGCGGGCCCCTCACTGTTGTGGCCTCTCCCGTTGTGGAGCACAGGCTCCAGACGCGCAGGCTCAGCGGCCATGGCTCATGGGCCCAGCCACTCCGCGGCATGTGGGATCTTCCCGGACCGGGACACGAACCCGTGTCGCCTGCATCGGCAGGCGGACTCTCAACCACTGCGCCACCAGGGAAGCCCTCAAGTTTCTTTTTTTTTGATATTTATAAATAATGCTAATATAAACATCTTTTGCACACACATACGCTTTCACCAATACATTATTTACTCTTGGTTTTGCTCAGAAAACATTTTCAGCTGGTGTGACTTCTTCTGTTTTCACTCTTGGGAAAAGCCACAGAAGGAAAGTGATAATGATAGTACACCACAACCCAGACAGATCACCTTCTTCGTGCTCTTCATGCTCCCCTAGCACTTCACCTGCACATCTTTTATGGCACTTAACACCTCTACTTCTTGTTATTTATGTTGTAACCAGATACTACTGGAGGGAAAGGGCATGTGAGACTCATCTCTATATCCCCCTGAGCCTTGTCCACATTAGGTCTACCATAAATGTTTATGCAACAGCTGAACAAGTTCCTCAAGTCCCATAGCCCAGTCCAAATTCCAGTGTCCTGCCAACTTTCCTCCATAACTGATGTGACATTTCCTTCTCAGCTGAGGGATTGACTTTGAGGATATGTCCAAAGGGGGTCAAGTAGTCCCTTTGATGTGTCTACCACCAGATGACCAAAGTTGGATCTTTTGAGAAATTTAGCAGGAAAAGTAGTTTTGAATATCCTAGGTAGGTATAAGAGAATTAAGTAGTGGAGGTTTATACTAGAGTCTATGCTCTCCAAAAATGACTCGATGTTTTGCACTCAAAATTATAGTTATAGTCATAAGAGCAGTGTTAACTTACATCTTTAAACCATTCAATATCTTACAAAGGAAAAAGTCAATCAAGTACAGATGGCATACTGCCTCTTCTTAAACGTGATGACCTCTAGTTCTAAACATTTGCTTGGCTTATTCCACTTCTCTCCAAAGTCCACCCTGGGCTTTACTTTAGCCTTGAAATATTCTAGCTGTTTTCATCTATTAAACCAACAGAACAGGGCTTTTCCAGTCTGGTTAAATCACACTCTATCCCTTATCAGTAACAATAATTTATTTTAATCAATGTTCATGAATGTTCTGTACTGATTAATTTCAACAATACTCTTTCCCCTGTATTGACCTTCTACAAGTGCTATGCTATGGGCTCCCTACTATGTGCTAAGCTAGTTTAGGAGATGGGGTGCAAACATGACTAAGGCAAGGTCCCTGCTTCTTACAAAGTGATGGGAGGGACAGGTTCAGAGCAAGGGCCAAGCCTTTGAGGGTGTCCCAAGGGATAGAAAGTCAAATGAGTCAAATCCACTTTCCAGGACCCCATATCACTTTTCTTCCCTTAAACTTGGACATTCCTTTCCCCCAAACTTCCATACTGAACAGCCATCATCGTGCAAGGAAAACAGGGAGGATATAGCTTTGAATTTTGGCTCAACTCTTTGGTAGCCATGGGTCTTGGGTAAGTCACTTCACCTCTGAGCATCCCCAAATGGGGATGGAGTAATAATAATGCGATTGCAACAGAGAGTGGCGAAGAGCATGGAATCTGCAGTCAGGCTGCTTGAGGGCAAATCTTTTTCAGCATTATAAGTTGTGTGACCTTGAGCAGGTCATTTCAGTTCTCTGGGCTTCAGTTTCATCAGCTGTAAAATGGGAATAAAGATAGAACCTACCTCATAGGGTTGTAATGGTTGAATATAGTAATCAATATAAAGTGTTTAGAATGATGCTAATTCTTATTACAAACGATTAGATAGTTGCTAGTAGAAGTCATTATTAGTGGTGGTAGTGGGGTGATAGCTTTAACAATCTATGCCCCAGATCCTGTCTGGTTATATTTAATTACCTCCTGTTCATTCTATTAGGATTTGAAGAACCTAAGTTATTTGCATCTTTCCTAACTTAGTAGTGACATCAACATTTCATATGTCAGGCAAAGTCTAAGAACATTGGAAGCACTGGTTCACTTAATACGCACAATAACGCCAGGCACTGTTATTAGCTCCATTTTACAGAGAAAGCAGCTGAGTTACAGGGAGGGTAAGTGGCTTGTCCAGGAGTAAATAGCTAACAAGAAGGCTCGCTCCAGGCACACACACTAACTCTCAACTGATAAGACAAATCCTGCTGTGTTCGTTGCTGAATCCTATTGGGGCTTGATTTCCTGTAAATAGCTAATAGCTCTCCAATATTATTCCTGCTTCCAGGTGCCAGGTGTTCTGTGTAACTTGCAAGGCACTATTCTAAAAAGTACTCACAAAAGGAAATGACTGATTTCGGCCAGCAAAGATCACGGTATTTTGAGAATTTAGCTGAGCCTTTCTCTCTGGCCTCTGTGTTGGGATAAGAGGGAGTGCTCCTGTTTGCATTAGCCAGAGAAGGACTGTGAACTATTATCTTACCTTGTTATCTGAGCTGCTGGTGCACAAGGAAGTTTCCTTTGCTAATGGCTGAACGGCTCTTCAGATAAAGGCCTCCCCGGGATCTCCGTAGCACTAATTAATCAGCTGTTAAAACAGTAGTTGATAAAGACAGGCTTACTTAAAGTTCGAATTGCCTGCAATCAGAGATAACCAGCAGTCCCTTTTGGCAGTGAGATATGAAAAAGGAGAATGATCTCTTATCAAAGTGAACATGGCACTCAAATGAAAAATGTGGTTCAGAAAATAGTGAAAACAACCTCAAATCAGAAAAAAAATAAACGTATAATTATTTCTTTTAACCTGTGTGGACAAAGTGGAAATGGCACCAAACACACACACAGACACACACACGTAAGTATTCAAACATGATCCACACTAACATTTCAGTGTAAGTTGGGTGAGCCGAGCCAGAGCAGGTTTCACTGTGATGAATGTGGTTATGCAACAGTGTGTGACATGTGGCCACCATTTCCCTTCGATGGAGCCTTCTTTGCTAATATTAGTCGCTTAAAAAATTTAAATAAAAACACTGATTTCCTCAGAGGCAAAGGATATGATTTAAAAATATATGTACTAGAGAAATCACCTTAAAAAATGGGCATCTGGTGGATGAATGGAAATAGACTTCCCTGAGAAAAGGCTTGGATGAAATGGAGAAATAAAACATGTAAATTGGTTTGGATATTAGTAACAGCTTTCCAATGGGCTTAAAGGAGAGAAAGGCTCTATCGGGCACAGATGTGAAGGGAAGAACAAATCTACCTGCCCCCCATGGAAGTGACGTTTAAGGAGGCTCAGACAGGTAGGAATATAAAGTGTGATGTAAGGGAACATCAAAGATCCTAATATTTGCAGAAACACAAAATTGAAGGTGTCTAGATATGATGTAGAGTTGAAAGATCTTCAGTAACACTTAAATTCTATTTTCTGGAGAACCAAAAACAAATATAACTGTCTGAAGGGTTGAATTAAGAGATAACTGTAGTTGAATAATCTATGCAATTTTGATCATGTAGCAAATGAATATGTAAAGCCCCCCAGATAAATTATAAACTTGGAAAATAAATTATAATATGGAGGCGAGCTTTCCTAAGTGATGCTTTTGTTAGCACTATTTGCTAACATTTTAATTTACTTCATAAACTCAATATAATGAAATGGAAAGATCAGTGGATTTGGAATCTGGCAACTTGATTATGGAATAATAAATATTATTAAAACTAATAATCAATGTAAACCTGAATAAATAATCTCTCTGAGCCTCAGTTTTCTCACATGTAAAAATGAGTGGAGAGATCACCAAACTAGATTACCTCTAATACATCTTTTAAGTTTCATAGCCTATAATTCTACATTTCATCATGTATCATTTTTATATAAATGCTCTACATTTTATTGGCAATTTCATTCACAAACCCAAGAGCATCTCAAAAGCTTCTAGATGCTTGGCTTCCAAGAAAATATTACTAGCTATGAGACACAACTAGAAATGTGCAAGTCTTTCCCAAAACCCCCTTGGAAATGTTGGTCTTAAAAATGCAATGGTAATTTGCAAGAATTGAAAAATGTTTTGACAAAATTCCACCTACTTATACGTTTACATAATGCTGGCACAATGAGAATGAGGTATCACTGAATTTCTGTGCCAGTAACCCCATTTTGCATGTTTCAAATTGCCTTCAGCCTTCCACATGCTTTTTTGCCATTCCACTTGATATGTATGTGACATTATCACCACAGTACCCGAGTGCTTTACAAAATAGGACAGAAATCAGTCACAGATTATTATTGTTTCAGGCTGTGATGGTTCAGGAAATGGCGAGTGTGGATGGCTGACGTGGTTGGTATGTGTCTGGTGATGAGTCGGGTTCATGAGGTCAGAACACCCTCCGTGCCCTGTGCCACCTTGGGCCCTGCATTCCACCTGCCCTCTGGAAGTCATCTTCATCTCACATGAAACGTAGATAATGATAACCAGCCCCCATCACCATGTGCTGTGGTTCAGATGTGGTTCACCTGATCTAAGAAGCCACAGGGACGCAGAGAAAACTGGTGTGTAAATTCAGGGAACTATTATTATTCCACAGGATGATTTCTTTGCAGCCTAAGAAGGAACCAACCATGGCAAGACATAAATAAGAAAGGATATAAATACCCTTTAACTAGTTACCAAGAAGTGGCTTTGGGGAAAAAAATAGGTGCTCAAAATGACTTCTCAAAGGTTGACGACAGCAAATCTGTCAAGCAGGGTTAATATGCCTAGAAATAGTTAAAGAAAAAAAATCTATGAGCACTTATTCTATGCCAGGTACTGTACCATCCATTTACTCTCTGTATCACCTCTAATTCTCACAAACCCTATGTGGGAGATACTGTCATGCTTATTTTTATAGATGAGGAAATGAGGCAAGGAGGTTGAATAACATGCTCAAGGTAACCCAGCTAAGAAATGGCAGAGTCTGGATTTTAACCTGCCTAGGTGGGCTGGCTCCAGAACCGGTGCCGTTAACCACTACATGAAGTAAGGTTCAAAGGAAAAATAAAACACAGTCGTTTACCCAAGAGTCCATGGTCTATAAGTGGCAGACGTACAGTCCAAAGCAGGTCTTCCTCAAGCAGAGCCCATAGGTTCCCCGCAGTCTCACGTCAATATCCAGGCCCCTGATAACCTGGGGTTTACCTCCAACTCTCAGGTGACAGGTGAGGTACACCTTCCTCAGCTTCCATCCAGGGTAAATCAAGGCAGAGCCTGAGATGTGACGAGAAAACTCCAGATGAAGTCCAGAGAGAGAGGGAAAGAAAAAGTGTAAGGGGACAGGAGCAGTTACAGGCCAAGCAAGTAGAAACAAGGACTCTGTCCTGTCAAAAGCCACATCAACTCTACTTCCCTTCTCGCCCTCACCCCTTCCCAGCCAGTGACCTGCCAGCACCCACTGCCATAGCTGGCACATAGCAGGTGTTCAATAAAAGTCAGTTACCCACCCTCCCTCCCTGTCCCTGTGGGCCCAGGACTGAATGTTCACAGGTGGACCCATCTAGATGTTTAATATGATCATTATAGCTGGTGGTTGGGCACGCTCTGCCAGTAAATTGAAAGCCTAAAGCCAAATAACACTCTACCACCCTTCTTATACCTGCCACACACCTGTTGAGATGGATAATCCCCACCAAGGACCGCCCATCTACTCCCAGTCTATTTTTAGTTCTCACTCATATTTGCAAATAGAAGATTCTCCTCTGAATGCCATGCTCCACTTTGACGCATCGTGATGTGTGCTAGTTCAAGAAATGCCATCGACACTGTTGTGATTGCCGTGAGCAATTCAGTATTTTTCCTGGACTGCTCACAACTTCTCAGGGACTCAAAAGTGAAATGCTTTATTCTTAAGTTCAACATGCAGATTCCACCCATTCACTAATTAAATACCAAAGTGATCTGCCCTTATAAAACTACAAAGACATAAGTCATACTTGCCTGGATTAGTTTCTGGGCCCAGATTTCTTAGAAGGATTTTCTTTGCATTATTTGCTACATTTTTGCTCCCGGTGTTCAACAACGAGCCATGACTGAAGCCAGATCTTCACACGATGCCCTGAGTCTGGCTGATGTCTCCTCGTTCCCGAGCACCTGCTTAAACAAGAGGTCTGGGCTCCTCTGCCCTTCCTACCATTCACGGCGGCTTGCTTTCCTAATTGGTTTGGGGTTGGGTGCATGAGCACGTGTGTATCTGCTCATGTTCAACAAAATATTTGCTTAGTTCTTTTTTTTGGCTTCCATCTAATGCTTAACTCAGAAAGAAAGGAGAACTAAGGTGCATTTTTATGTCAGGTAGAGGGGAAAGAGGACTTAGAAAGGTCCTAATGAGAACAAAAGCCTTTTGTTTAGGAGGTGTCTTAATATTAGTATAATGACTTCAGAGGCTGAGATAAGGTAAGGAAAGGTAAGATGGCATGAGATAAGATAAGAGTAGGTGGCACCATCAATAAGTAATACAGTCTTAAGAGCATAAAAGGTGAACACGCTAAAAATGTTCAAATTTGAAGAGAAACTGTAAATTTAACCCTGGTTCTAAATGGGCTCAATGTTATTCTAATCTATGCTGTGGAAATTCAATAACTGACTCTATAATCTCCAGAAAGACTTGTTCTTCAGAGTCGTGCTGGAGGAAGCACGGGTTTGGAATCATCAGTTTTGTAGACACTATTGTAAAGGGACTGCTCCTACTGGTAAGAAATGCACCAACCAATTCCCACTATGAGGTGGTGCATTCGTCTTTCCAAATGCTATGTCCTCTTAGTAAATGCCTTTTCCTAGCTGGTTTTAAAAGGTCAGTTACATGTTGCAAAAGTAAAATCAGACCATGTTAGTGTTTTCTTCTCCCTTCCCTGGTGAAAGAGTATAAGTGACAGGAAAAAAGTCTTTTCGAAGCATATGGATGTAATCATGTCTATTTTATTTATTACAGTGCTCATCTTAGACACAACAATTTAGAGCTGGGTTATCTAGTCCACCTCCCTCACCTCCCACCCCCATTTTACAGGTGAGGACGCTGAGATCCAGAGAGAGGCATGACTTCCTGGAGGCTATAAGATGCCATCAGAACTGGAAACCAACTCCCAGGCCAGCCAGGGTTCTTTCACCACACCATACTGCCTACCACGTCTGTGAATTGTTATTGTTAATGGTGAAAGTTTCGTCTTTTCAACATGTTATATTCCAAAGTGCTGCCCAGAAAATTTAGGATGCAGTTCTCTTCCATTCTATGTAAAGCACTTTTTTAATGTGAAAGAACGTGGATTTGCATAAGACTGGAAGAGGGGACTCATCACAGCAATTATTGGCCAAAATCCTCTTGTGGTGGGAGCGACAGTCTGGGAGCCTTGTGAGCTTGATTCTAAATTCAGATTCGCTTTATGCTTTGCTTTATGCTTCCAGTCTTCCAATTAAGTCTAAACACTCAATGGCTAAGAAATTAGCTACGCTCTAAAAAGCCCACTAAGTTTCCAGAGAGGGTGGGAGGGCCAGGATGGTAAGGTAGGAGATGGGCAGGAAGCAAAGAATGCCTCCCCAAATGACTTTTGTCCCCATAAACAAGGTTACCCAGTACAAATGTCCTTCTATTCCGTGTCCTTCATTTTGTGGCCCTCTTTTCTTGCCTGCAACTGGAGGAAAGAGGGGTCTAGGGCAAGCAAAACAGCACTTTTAAAGAAAAAGGAATTCCTGTTCTCTTTCCTTTGCAACCAGGAGCTCCATGGATTGAAAGCTGGTAGCATTTACATCTCCAAGTCTTTCTTCTGCTAGTCCTCTTTAGTTTTATAGCCTGTTTGGCTTCATAAAATACAATTGAGGATTTATAAATCTTAAAAAATAAAAAAGCAAAAGCTGCCCAATTTCCAAATCTGCATTTAACTGTAAAAAAACATGAAGGCATAGTATTCATTCAATAGCTGATTAAATTATTAAGAGTTTAGGGGCTTCCCTGGTGGCGCAGTGGTTGAGAGTCCGCCTGCCGATGCAGGGGACACGGGTTCGTGCCCCGGTCCGGGAGGATCCCACATGCCGCGGAGAGACTGGGCCCGTGAGCCATGGCCGCTGAGCTTGCGCGTCCGGAGCCTGTGCTCCGCAACGGGAGAGGCCACAGCAGTGAGAGGCCCGCGTACCGCAAAAAAAATAAATAAATAAAAATTAAATTATTAAGAGTTTAGGAGTATATTTAATTGGGAAAAAACCTTTATACACTATATATGGTCAAAAGGAAAGCTGCAAGATCATATGGGAGGGTAGATTTTTAATTTGAAAAGCTGGCAGTAAGCATGGACTTTGATATTCTCAGCTACATTTACAACAATCTGTTAAATGGGAAAGGGGCAGACCACAGCTATCAGTAAAGGGCATGAGGTTTGTTATCAGATAGGCATGGATTTTACTCCTGGCTCTTCCAGTTAAAAGTTACTGATCTTTGGGCTTCCCTGGTGGCACAGTGGTTGAGAATCCGCCTGCCGATGCAGGGGACACGGGTTCGTGCGCCGGTCCGGGAAGATCCCACATGCCGCGGAGCGGCTGGGCCCATGAGCCATGGCCGCTGAGCCTGCGCGTCCGGAGCCTGTGCTCCGCAACGGGAGAGGCCACAACAGTGAGAGGCTCGCGTACTGAAAAAAAAGAAAAGAAGGGCTTCCCTGGTGGCGCAGTAGTTGAGAGTCCACCTGCTGAGGCAGGGGACATGGGTTCGTGCCCTGATCCGGGAGGATCCCGCATGCCGCAGAGCAGCTGGGCCCGTGAGCCATGGCCGCTGAGCCTGCGCTTCCGGAGCCTGTGCTCCACAACGGGAGAGGCCACAACAGTGAGAGGCCCGCGTACCGCAAAAAAAAAAGAAAAGAAAAAGTAACTGATCTTAGAAAGATTCCTTTAGCTCTCTAAGTCTCTTTTGTCATCTGTAAAATGGAGATGAGGATAACGTTTGGCAAACAGGTTTGTTTTAGAGATTACTTTTTCAATCATATATGTAAAATCCTTTGTAAACTCTAATTCACCATGAAATATTATTTACTAATTATTATCATCATCTTCTTCATTGTCAGTAAATAATACATAGTCCTTTCAGAAGGCTGACATTGCACACCTGGGTATGCTCCTAGACATGCTGACAAATGGAGAAGTGTAATAGCCAAATTGGTTTCTCATCCAGAAGTAACTCAGGTGTGGCGGCATCAGGGAACAGGGATTGGGGCTTCTGGGTTCTAGACAATTAGTGTGACATCCCAAGATTATGAGTTCAAAGCCATTACTTTTAAGATGATCAATTACAGGGAAATGTGAACTAATATCTGTGGAGAATCCATAGTGGGGCTGATTCTACACACACAAAAAAGATTCACAAATCAAAGAACTGGAGTTTAGATCTAATGTGTGAGTTAACACTGCAGATGATCTTGGGTAAGTTCCTTCGGCTCTCTGGACCAGTATAGTCAGAGTTGCAATCCCATCATCAGTGTTTCAGAGTAGAGCTTAGTAAAGAGTAGAACTCACTCTTGAAAACAAGAGTAGAACTCACTCTTGAAAACAAGAGTGAATGTCCGGAAGACATGTAAAAGGGGAAGCTCCCAGGCAAATATCTCCCTTCCATTTGGTTTCGGAGAGGTCCCGTCCCTCCTGTTTCTAGGGCTCTACAGGCCTTGAGATGAAAATCAACTCCAGTCAGCATTACCTGTCTCCATTCCCAGATGCACGTCCTTTTCTTTTTTTCGTAAATAAGAAAAACAAAGCCCTTTGTCCCATATGCCCCCCACAAAAGCCATCTTCAAGGAGGTAATGCCCAGACTAGATATTTATATTGCCAATTTTTCTTTTTCTGGGTAAGAAAAATTGGAGCACAGGAAAGTGAATGACTTAATATGGACTATTCAGAACCACAAGAAAAATTTTAGACTTCCTCTATTCTTCTGGACCTCACTGGGCTCAGTTTCCATTTGAAAAATGAATCAATACAAATCAGCATTTTCCTATGAAACACTTTTATAAAGGATTCTTGGAAGACTCTGATACAGAAAATCAAGGCCAAGAAACTGACCATACAAATGGTTTCATTCTTTAAAAGTTATAATTAATTTAATATTTTATCACTTTGAGGAAGGTTTTGCATTCTAAAATGTCATCCAATCATATATTTAAAGCAAAAAAAAATCACTATTTCTGTGTTTGAAAATGATCCTGCATATTTGAGGTTTGACTAGACGTAGCATTAGCTTTGTTACAAGAGTGTAAGCTCTCTCTCTTTTAAAAATGGAAATACAGTCTGTTCCTCCAATTATTCCCATCCTCTCCCTGTCCCCTTCTTTCCTATTTTTTTAAACTCTGGATATTAGACACTATAAATACATCAATTTCTCCACTTCTCTGGGGTTCAGGATTTATGTAGTTGAGTCTTCCAACTTTATGTGATTTTTGAG